GACAGTATGGTCTTGATCTTGGACCAGAACTGTAAGAAATAAATGTTTTTTTGTGAAGCCACCCCATCTGTGGTATTTTTGTTATATCAGCCTGAGTGGACTAAGACAAATGGCCTGAGGACCACCCTGGCCCAAGGCAAAAGGTGGAGGGAGCTTTTGGAAGGCAGTAGGTTCCTTCTTTCTCTCTCAGCTTCCCCAGCATGCAGCGGAGAACAGCATCAGTAATGGGAAACAGTGTGTGAGACTCAACCTCCCTGACTCAGGAGATTCCAACAGGGACAGCACAGGTCCTCCAAACCTCCAAGAGAAATGAAGACCACCCTCAGCACCCAACTCTGGCCCTGGACAGAATGACACAGGGCAGGAAGCATGAGCACTTTGCATTTTTGTGCCCAAACTCCTGTCTCCGGCCCTGCCTACCCCTCCCGAAGCTTCTCCCTCAGGAAGCTGTCTCTCTTTTGCTCAGAAAACTCCCTACCTTATCTCTGGCTCCAGTTGCCCACTGAGCCCCAGGGAGAAACGTTTCCAAAAAAGGAAATGATTGTGTAGACCAAGATGCACCGAGGAGCTGAGCCTTTCCAGGACTAAGGCAGATGCTGAAGGAAAAAGGGAAGGGCAAGGCCATCCTGCATCTTCAAGTTGCATCAGCAAAGACAGAGAAGGTTTAGAGTTTGGAGGGGGGCTTCTTGAATCCATTTTCTAATGTGAGAGTGCTTATTAGAAGAAAGTTTGAAGTGCTAAGTCTTGCTGACAGTCCTTATGGTTTGTTTATGAATTTCCTTAGAAATATAAACACTAACAAACAAAAGCTGTCTCCATCCCTCCCTTTGTGGTCACTGGCATCAGAGGTCAGGAACGTAGCAGGCCTGCCCCTCAGCCAAGCTCTCCCTGAAAGCCTTCTGTCCCTGAAGAATACCAACGCAGTGACCTCAGCACACTTGGGCAACATTCCCTCTCTTAATAATGTGGGTTGAGTAGGTAAGAAGAATGTCTCCAGGTTACTCAGAGAGGAACTGGAGGGAGGGGGGAAGAATATTAAAGTCCCCGTTCCCAGTGAAACCAGATGTTACACAAAAAGGGCAAAAATAACCAAGACCCAGGGGAAGGCTGAGCAGAGAGGTGGGAGGTTCCGGCCAACGTGCTCTGTGAGCTGACTGCCTCCCTCTCCTGGGAGAGTGACACACACTCTCACTCCCGTTCTCCATTCATCCCATTTTGGAAAATTGGGAAAGTACAGTGTGATAACTGTAATTATCCACTTACCTCGTGGGGTTGCTTGAGATAAAATGAGACTGTGGATGTGAACTATTTTAAAAATATAAAAATCTCAACCTAAGTCAAATATATTCAAATACTTTTGTTATGATAGAAACAAATAAATGCAAATAGAAGGTGATTCTTTTCTTTCTTTCTTTCTTTTTTAATCCTCACCCGAGAATACATTTATTGATATTTTAGAGAGAGAGGAAGCCGGGGAGAGAGAGAAACATCAGTCGGTTGCTTCCTGTAGGAGGCTCAACCAGGGATAGAGCCTACAACCTTCCGGTGTATGGGGTGATGCTCCAACCAGCCGAGCCACCCGGCTGGGGCAGAAGGTGACTCTTCTCTACTAGTACCTTCATGCCACCCTCTGCTCTTGGAGGACAAAGCATAGTATGTCCTGGTACTTACTTTTCCCCCAGAGAGCTATTAAACACCCCCCCCAACCCAAACAAATCAACACTCTTCTCTAGATTGATGTCCAGTGACAACAAGAAAACACTTGAATGTGCAAAGAAAGAAGTGTGGAGGAGACAGAAAGGAGGAGATGAAAAGGAAAGCATTTTAGTTCATGGGTGTATTCACACCCTATTGTTTCAGAGCGGGGGGAACACTTTTAATATTATGTATTTTCTTGTAATAACAAGTTAGAGCAAAACTCTCAAGATGAACATTTATCCTCCAGATTAAAAACAAAAAAGGTAGAAAGAACAAGAAAAGCAGCAGAGAAGTAAGCATAAAGTCATGTTAGAAGCTAAAAAGGAATTAAATAGTGGCCTAAGCCTTTCCTCTGTAGATACATAGAAGAAAATAAGAAGTAATTCCTATGGGAGTCTTCTCCTTTGCTGGCCCAAATCCCTTCTTCTTCTCCTTCTCCTTCCCCTTCTCCTTCTCCTTCTCCTTCTTCTTCTTCATCCATGGAAGTCAAGTAGAGTGTGAGCTGGTCTACCTTCTGATGTGCCCTCAAGGTGATATAAAAATTCCTAGTATTTCCCTCCACCTTAGGGTTGCCAAATTTAGCAAATACTTGGAATAGTCTCACACTAAAAATTATTTGTTGTTTAATTAAAATTTAACTGGGTGTCCTGTATTTTATCTGGCAACTTTAACTCCGCCTCCATCCACCATGACCCCAGTGATCAGCCCTATCAATTAGCAGTATTTGCCAAACTTGCTATCCTAACAACCCATTCTGATGAAATAGGTACAGGGTTCATCCTGGGAACCTTTGTATGTAACAAATATCTGAGGTAATTCTCACCACTGGATAAGTTTGGGAAGGTTTAGATTCCAATATGGCACCAGTGAGGCCGAGACCATAAGTTGAATCTCTGTATGAGGTGGGCTTCTTTGCTAGATTCACAGCTCATGAACGACACACCGCCCCAACCCGTGTCAGTGTCCAACCCTCCCCAAGAACACACCCCACGCAATGGGCCCAGAACTTTGCACTCATCCACATTGGCTATGTTTTCCTATAACGGGGCCAATGCTTGCTATACACACCCAGAGCTGCTGTCCTCTAGGACCAAGGGAACGCTGAGCCCAACCAGTTGTTTTTCCAGAGGCTGCCAATCCTGCCGACAGCAGCCAAGGTAGGGAGGGCAGAAGCAAAGGCTCTCCAGGGTCAATTAATCAACAAATCACATTCAAAATGGCCCACACGGCTCACTTTTGGTTTTTTAAATCAACAGCCAAGACACTTTTAGCAGTTAAACTCAGCCTGTGTTGGGGGAAGCCGCCAGGGGAGAAAAATAGTTACCATGCTCACGATTCCCACCTCCCATTCCTCCCTGGCTGACGCGTTCTGTCCCGCAAGGGGCAAATACTCTGCACCCTTCCCCCCCTGCTCCTCCCCTCTTCTCTTTCCCTCTCCTCCCCTTCTCCCTCTTGCTCAGAGACAGTTGTAGCCATTCACTAAACCCTTGACCTCTCCCACTTTCCTGTTTATATCCCATTCTCTCTTCAATTCCACCCCCCATTCCTTGGCTGGTCCTACTTTATGTTTTGATCCTACCCCACACCTCCCCTGCCCTGCCCTCCCCTGGTATCCCCTAGGGGGCAAAATTCACCATGGTCATCCATAGAAAATCTGTATTTGCATCTCCAAAATCTGGTCATGAGACATAGGGGCTGCACCTAGTCAGGCCTCAGCCACATGAATGTTCCCTTTGTAGATCAAGAGAAACAACAGATACTCCAAGAATATGTTTTCTTTTTCCTCAGACTCCTTGGGGCCACAGTAGTCTCCATTTTCTCTCAGTTTGGCCATCCCTCTGCTCCAGCCAGCTTCAGGCCATCCATCCCATAAGGGACCCTCCCTATCAGCCTTCCCTTCTTCCAGGAGTCAGCTGCGGAATTCCCACCTCCTTATAAGAGAAGCTTGATAATATCAGGATGGTGACCGAGGGAAGGAGGGTATGGCAAATGAGGAGGGAAGAGACCATATCACACTTGAGCAGCCTGCTCAGCCCAGAGGGGTGGAGAACCTGCGGGGGTGGAGGGAAAGGGCTCACCCATCCCCCTCCGCACCCCCCCCCCGCCCCCCGTCCCCCCAGGCCCAGGGAAGGTTTCATTTGCTAAATGAAGTCAATGTGGCCCAGATGTTGGGCAGCTGCCTCTGGAAGCAGTTCCCGTGCTGAATTGCACACAGGCCAAAGCAGTGTGTTGAGCTGGCCTCTGCCTCTGGCAGTCCTCTCTACAGGCAAAAACACAGCCTCCCACTCCCACCCACCTACCCACCCACCCACCCCTACCACCCCCAGCCTGCCAGGGAAGTTGCCTTTTTAGGAAACTCAGTAGATTGGGAAGAGAGACAGACAGAGAGAATGAGGGCCTGGGTTACAGCAGTTGAAAAACTGCAGCGGGCAGGAACACGCTGCCGTGACAGGGACGGCGCCTCAGCTGGCTGAGACACAGCCAGGCCAGGAGCTCAGGTAACCACCTGCCAGGGCCAGGCCAGTGACTCAGCCTCAGACTGTAATCACTGGAAACTCTCCAGCCACACTCACCCCCCCACCCCGGCCCATCCCGGCCGCCACCACCACCAGGCCTTGCCAGCTCCACATTCCCGTCCCAGCCACAAACACAGCCATTCCCTCAGACACACTCATTCCCTAGGGCCCCAGACACAACAAACCCTCTGCCTAGACTCAGCTAACCCTTTCCTGTCACCCTCTGATCCTCATCAGATGCCCTCATTGACACCTAGGAGAGGGAAGGAAGAAGAAAGGGAAGAGAAAGAGAAAAAGGCAGCCCAATTATCAGAGAGGAAGGGAAACAGAAAAGACCTTCTGATGAAACATCCCCCCACACAAGAGCAAGATCTTCTTTGATTTGCCTTTTTAAAAATTATGGCATGTCTATGAACCAGCCTCACCTGTGTGCCTATAACCCTCTCCGGCCTCTCCTTTGCAGACCTGAGGCCCTGCTTCCCTGGGGTAGCAGCAAGCAAGAAGCAAGCGAAGTGTGCTAAAGGGTGGTAATGGCTACTATGAGTCCAGGAGGGATAACAAAATTGGCCAGAGCCGTGCGCCATTCGGTGGGCCCCGGATGGCACTCCAGCAACATCCCCAAGACAGCTCACTTCAGCATCCATCAGTGGGAACGCTTCACCCTAGTTTTGTGCAGAAGGGACAGGGGGCTTGTGTATTTAGGAGGGAGAACCTGTCCCATGGGCGTGTACCCTCACAAACACAGGCACGGCTGGGGAATAAGTAAGGTTAGGTGCTGTTCCTTACCTCGTCCGAGCACCAGGCACACATGGGACTCACGGCCAGACACTGCTGGCAGGAGCTCACGCCTCGTGTGGTGCAGATGTTCGGCCCTGCAACAGAGAGGCAGAAGCATTAGCTCTGATCTGACTTGACAAAATAATGGGCCTGCCCCATTCTCCCCAGCTTTCCCAAATGCCCAAGTTTATAGCTCTCAGATACACACAGGCACACCCCAACCAGACCTTGGATGTTTACCCAACACAGGCTGTTTGATAAAAAGGAGAATGAGGAAGGCTGGGAAAGACCCACCACTGACCTCCCTCCCTCCATGAGGCCATAGGTCAGGGTGTCAAACTCATTTTCGCCAGGGGCCACATCAGCCTTGCGGTTGCCGTCAAAGGACCGAATGTAATTTTAGGACTGTATAAATGTTAACTACTCTTTAACTACGGGCGAGGAGCTCGGTGCTGCCACTGGCTAGAAACAAGGTGCCAGCCTGGATTTGGCCCGCGGGCCTTGTGTTTGCCACCTGTGCCATAGGCGATAGAGCAAGGCAGAGTCATCAGCCCAAGTGTCAGCTCATAACCAATGGAAAGGATTGAATGAACAACTGGTTTGACGCCTACATTGTGCAACTGAAAATCTGAGGTCTAGAGTAATGACAATTTATCCAATTGTTCTGGGGATATATTCACAGTCACTACAAAGGGGATCCAAAGTCCCGGTGCACTAACATTAACATACAGCCTAACTACTGGGGGGCAGGGGCAGCCATGGCAGTGTTTCCCTGGTAGGCCAGGGAAAAGCAAATCTTCTGGAACTGTATCAGACTTCCCAACACATACATCTTAGGATCCAAGCATGGAATGCTCCAGGAAGAACTGCAGAAATGTTAGAAAAGGCCGACTGATATAAGCTGGAAGAACGTGGACTTTTGGAATTGGAAAGCCTGTATTTGATGTCTGAATGCTCTTCCTACTTGCCGCGTCATGACCTTGGGCAATTCAATGAATTGATGTGAAATGATAATATCCATCTCACAGGATTTGTGCATGAGTTCTGTGAGGTAAGGGAGAAGCACTTGGTATGCTACAACATGCCACTCAAATGTGGACAGTCTTCATACTGTCAGAGGACAGAGAAAAATCAGGAGGGTGAGCAGGGACAACCAGAGGGGCCAAAAAAGCCTTGGAAAGCCCAGCCTGGAAGAAGACTTGAGGCTTTTGCTTGGACAGAAGCCCCCTTCCTCTGTGCTTTCCCTAGCTCAGGTAAGCCTGGCCTCAGCCCTTCAATGCCCCCTAGGAATGCCTTTTCCAATACAAGAGGCAAATGAGAAAGACCCATTGTTCCCCATGACCCACTTATGCTGTCAGTTCCTTTGTCTAGTTTTCTAAAGTGGCTCCTTTGCCTTCCCATCGACAACTGCCACCAAGGGCAGGTCACTGGGATGCAGTGGCTGAAAGTATTGATTCATCGGAAGTCTCTGTGACTGGGCCATGCTGATTCAATGAGCTGCTGCTCTGAGGCCACCCCTCCCTCCTGAGCATGTGGAAGGGGTTTGGTCTTCTGTTTCCAGTCATTCACAAGGCCTGTGCCTGTGTTCCTGTTCAGTCTCAGTGGCCCAGACTCCATCCTGCTGGAGAAGGAGGGATCTTCATCAGAACTTTGTCCTTGCCAAAACCAAACATCTCCTACTATCCCTTTCCTCTGACAGTTTAGCCAGAGGGGGCGGGGGGTCGGGGGGGACTGGCCCTGGTTCTCACAGGGTGATTATAAGGGTTCAACGAACCAATCTCTGTCACTCTGAGCACAAGAACTGGCACACGCAAAGTGCTTAACAAATGCTCCTGCCGATGCTGTTGTTTTTGTTGTCGCTGTTTTATCCTGAGTCCCGAGCTGTTTAAGACAGGTGGACGTTTCACTTTTCTTTTCCTCCTGAAGACACCATTCTACAGGACAGCTGAGTGTGCTTCAAGCACAGGGGTGGTGAGGGCATGGGGCCAGAAAGCATCAGGCTAGGGGACAACAGTCAGTGTCAGATCTGGCTTCTAAATGGAACTAGGAATGTTGGTGTTCAAAAAAGCCAAGCCAGGAGGGACAGCCAAGGAGAGAAGGCCAGTTAGAAACAACAGACGAGAGCGGCCAAGAAGCATGCCTGGAAAGTAGAAGCAGGAGGCTCTGGCTTGGCACCTCAGCCCCATTCACAGGACCAGAAGAGAGACAAAGGGTGGGGAAAGTGGAGAAAAATGGAAAACAAGGAAGGGAGTTGGAACCAGTGGAAATCACCATGCGTCAATGCGTGCTATTGTGAGGACATGCTGTCCAATGAGACAGGATGTCAGAGTGCAGAAATGGGCCACCCTCGTGAGGCCAGGGGACTTCAGGAGAGGGCTGTCAGAGGGAGAGGTGTTTAGTGGGAAGGGAGGATGATAAGTACGGCAAACAGTCTGACACCTCTCTGACCATCTGCCAGAGAGGAGCCCTGGCCTGCCCCTGACCTTTGACTAATCACTAATTAGGTCCATGGGGACACAGCGGACTCAGGCTGCGCCTGATTTGCCAGCGCAGTCACCTGGCTGGGTGAGTCATCCAAAAACAAAACACCTCATGTTAACTGCTGTATGGATGCATGAGTGGTTTCTCTAGAGCAAGTTGCTAAAAAAGATTATTTTATTTTTGTTCTTTCATTCAATGTAGCAGCAACTCAGTAACTCAAGGAAGGGGAAGGAGACAGAAAGGTGGAGCTCAGGGTAACACACACCTCCAGGAAGCACTGCTCTAAGCAGTAGCAAATCCAAACCACTGTGCAGGATGCATCCTGATTTCAGAGATTTAAGAATATTTTTTAGCCCTGGCTGGTATGGCTCAGTGGATTGAGTGACAGCCTGAAAACCAAAGGGTTGCGGGTTCGATTCCTTTGAAACCAAAGGGTCAGAGCACATGCCTGGATTGCGGGCCACGTCCCCAGTAGGGGTACAAGAGAGGCAACCACACCTTGATGTTTCTCTCTTTCTCCCTCCCTTCCCCTCTCTAAATAAATAAATAAAATCTTTTTAAAAATTAAAAAAATATTTCAAAGTGCATCAGAGCCAACTAAATATAACATTTAACATCAGAAGGCATTTGTGTATAATTTGCCTCCACCAATATTAAAATGTGTTATGGTTTGAGCGATGTCCCCAAAGAGATATGTTGAAGTCCTAATCCCCCCCCCACCCCCCGCCCAGTACCTAGGATCATGACCTTATTTGGAAACAGAGTCCTTGGAGATGTAATCAAAATAAAATCATTAGGGTGGGCCCTAATCCAATAAGGCTGATGTCCTTATAAGAGGAAAACACTACATGAAGACAGAGACACAGAGGGAGAACGCCACGTGACGACAGAGGCCGGGACTGCTGTGTTGGAACTGGAGGGCAAGGAACGCCAAGGACTGCGGGCCGCCAGCAGAGGACAGGAGGATGCAAGGAAGGATTGATTCTCTCCAGTCTCAAAGGGAGCATGGCCTTGCTGACACCTTGATTTCAGATTTCTAGGCTCTGGAGAGAATACATTTCTGTTGTCTTAAGCCCCCCCAGTTATGGCAGCCCTAAGAACTTAATGCAGAATGGATTTGCATTTTCACAGCAAATATGACATGACTTCGAGGAACATGGCCCTGAAATACTCTGCATAATTGGGAAAAGTCAGCCCGGAATAAAATCTTTGCTATGGTTAATCCATCTGTGGACATTGGAAAAGTGGCTGGTTTTACACTTTTCTCCACATATACATAAATGGTGTCAGCATTCATTCATTCACTCACTCATTCATTCACTCGACAACTCTTCATTGAGCACCTAACTGTGCCCCGCACTCTCCTAGGCACTGGAGACACGTTGGAGACCTAAACAAACCTCCTGCTCTTGTGGAGCTTAAATTTTAATGAGGAAGATGAAAACAAAAACATACACCACCAAACTATCGTTTCAAAAAGTACAGGGACAGACCCCACCAATGCCACTGTTTGAAAATAGAGCAGCATAAAGGAATGAGAGGAGAGAGTCTCCTTTAGAGAAAGGGGTCAGGAAAGACCTCTCTGAGTTAACATCTGAAAATGACATAGAGAAGGAAGTCACGGGAAAATCTAGGGGATAAGATTATAGAAAAGAGCATGGCAAGAGCTAGATGGACCACGGCCTCCTAAAGAAATAGTAGGAAGAGAGGGGAGGGAGGAGAGAGGCACCGAGGGGGTTGGAGGTACAGTCAGGGACCGTAAGTAATACCAGGAAACTGTCACCATGGTAGGGAGGATGGCTTTCACTCTGCATGTGGTGGGAAGCCACGGAGGAGTTTGAGCAGAAGTGAGCAGAAAAAAGATCAATCATCCTAACTACTGGGGGTGAGGGGCAAGACCAGAAAGAGACCAATTAGGAAGCTATTACAATAATCCAGGCAACAGGGGCTCTGGATGGTAGTGGTGTCGATAGTGTGGTCAGACCCCAGATATGTTTGGGGACTCGCTGATGAATGGCATGTGAGGCATGATGGAAAGATGGGAAGGATTTTGCCCTGAGCAAGTAAATCTCCTTGGACAAAGTTCAGATGTTTTGATCACTGGTTATACCCTTTTGCTGACCCTTTAGCCAGTAGACCCTGCCCTTGTAAGCGAAGCCAGATCATGTCTGGTTACCATCTTCAACTGGATTAGTTAGATAGCCATGTGCTGAACACTCCATAAAGCCCATCCTCAGATAGAGTCCTGTCTTCTGTATGGTTGTGCTAACACCAGCCCCTGGGAAACACTGTAAGGGCAGAGGTCATGGAACAATGAACACACTCATCGTGTCTAGAACAGTGGGAGTAGTGGGCAAAGCATACAGACCCTGGCAGGCAGGACAAGTCTGAAGCCACGTTTACCATCTAAATTGGTGCAACCTCAGACCTTCATCTCCCTGGGGCTCTCTGGGAGGTCCAGTGACTCTTTGATTCTCGGTCACATCCTTGTTTGAGAACTTATCATTGTTCCCTAATATATACCAGGTCTAACCCAGCCACATCAGCTAAACACCAGAGACCTCAGGCAGCTGCTTCCTCTTCCCCATGCTACCACATATGGACAGAATGCTTA